ATAAATTAAGCTTCAAAATGAGACATCTAAAAACACAAAAAGAGAAGTCAGATTTTGACACTTGCTGGATACCACAATTTGGGGACTTTAGTCAAAAGCTTGCCTAAAGTTAGTTACATCAAAATTCCCATACTAAACAAAAGATACGGACTTGGAGGAACATTAAGATTCATCAAACATACATGCCGTTCCAGTGACAAGTAAATTTGAGAGAACAAAAGGCACATGCAAGACATTTATCAAGGAAATGCTTTGTAGAGTCTTAAAATATCGAAACAAGAAAATACTTTCATGAGAATATAATTTGTTGACCAGCACTACTTGGCATTCAAGTGAAAAAGCAACTCAGAAAGGACCACTTACAGAATATGAAGCACTCAGAAAACAGTAGGAAAAAAAGCTTTATCCTGGTAAAGGAAAAACTGCTATGGCTGGATAAGCCTTCAACTACCAGAATTAACAAAGAAGAAAACTAAACAGTAACCAACCCATCATTCTGAATCTATGATTTTGAGTTTTCATTGTTGCTCATTCTCTAGGCATGTCCAGAAATCTGCGAGGTCAGTATTATGTTTCTCCCACACTCTCTAGAAGATTATACCATGTGTTTAGCACAGCACCGTAAGAGAAGACATCCCGTCACAACTGTGTGCTCACTCTTCAGCGGGCTAGCTGCAGAGAGAGCTTTAAGCCAACAGAATCAGAGCTGGGTAGGCTGAACTTCACCAACCACTGGCTGTACTGACTAGAAGAGCACTAATGGGTCTAGCATCCAGCACAGCAGTCAGCTTGAGTAGCTTAGGACTCAGAGGTGCCAAGCAGCCATGTCCCAGAGTGAAGTCAGGCTTCAAGACGAGAGAGACCTGGGTTTAAATTGTGCATCTTGCTCTTACTGTAGGACCAAGAGAAAAGTAATGAATCTAAACCACAGTTTACCCATCTTCAAAATGAGAGTAGTATTATGTCTGTTACAACATTATAGTAAAAAGATGAGGGTAACCTATTTAAAACAACTGGCATATCAGGGAAATTCAAATCAAAACCACACTGAGATACCACCTTATACCAGTTAAAATGGCAAAAATGTACAAGGCAAGAAACAACAAATGTTGGAGAGGTTGTGGAGAAAGGGGAACCCTCTTACACTGTTGGTGGGAATGCAAGTTGGTACAGCCACTTTGGAAAACAGTGTGGCGGTTCCTCAAAAAATTAAAAATAGAGCTACCCTATGACCCAGCAATTGCACTCCTGGGTATTTACCCCAAAGACACAGATGGAGTGAAAAGAAGGGCCATATGCACCCCAATGTTCATAGCAGCAATGTCCGCAATAAGCCAAACTGTGGAAAGAGCCGAGATGCCCTTCAACAGATGAATGGATAAAGAAGATGTGGTCCATATATACAATGGAATATTACTCAGCCATCAGAAAGGATGAACACCCAACTTTTACATCAACATGGATGGGACTGGAGGAGATTATACTAAGTGAAATAAGTCAAGCAGAGAAAGTCAATTATCTTATGGTTTCACTTATTTGTGGAACATAAGGAATAGCAGGGAGGACACTAGGAGGAGGAAGGGAGAAATGGGGGGGGGGACCAGAGGGGGACATGAACCATGAGAGACTATGGACTCCGAGAAACAAACTGAGGGTTCTAGAGGGGAGGGGGGTGGGGGGATGGGTGAGCCTGGTGATGGGTATTGGCATGGAGCACTGGGTGTTATATGAAAACAATGGATCGTGGAACACTACATCAAAAATTCATGATGTATTGTATGGTGACTAGCATAAAATAATAAAATAAAATTTAAAAAAAGAATTGTCTGAAGAAAACTAAAAAAAAATTTTTTTCTTTAAATAAATAAAACAACTGGCATGAATGCCATGTGCTCCCAATCCTGGTTTTAAACTTTGACAAAAGTATATATATCCAATTTTACATCACCTTTGAGAAAAAAATTTATATAATATAGGAATAGGTACATTGGGTCACAATATGTGTCTCTTAGGAGCAGGTAAAGTGGTGTCGTGGGAGAAAAGAGCCACCTCTCCCCATAAGTTAATTTTTTTTCAATTCTAAGGAAAAAAATGCAGCTGTACACTACAACATACAACTACATTCAATTAAACTCAATGTTAGATACTACAAAAAACAAAAACAAAAGAAAGAACAAGAGGACATCCTCTCAACTTCACTGAATCAATCTAAAAGAGGTTCACACCAAGTTACGGGCAACGCTGAAATCCAAATAGAAAATTTATTAATTGTTTTCGTATATAAATTTGGTGGTAAAATCAGACCTAAACTTGGACTAGAGGTTCTACAGTCTTTATTCCTGCACTAAATGCAAACATTCATGCATTATAATTTTCATTATGTTGCAAGGTCCTTAATCCCACTGGTGATGTGACTTAATATGTTATGTACTGCACTAACTTCTGAAAATATAAATATTCCAAATTTCAAAACACATATAGGTCAAGGATTTCAGAGAAGGCAATCTAAACAATCTCTGCTTAAGGAAAAAAAAAGAGGTAACTACCAAAGACAGAAACTTGCAGTTAAGAATTTATTTTCTATCCTTCTTAAATCAGTAATTGCTTAGAACCCTTGATGATCCAATAATATGGACACGGTGACATGACCTACATTATTAAGTTCTTGGAGAAGCACGAGATGATAAACATAACCCAATGTCTGACACAAAGTACCCAATAAATACTGTGTTACAGTAGTGCCTAGAAAAATACTTTGAACATTTACTAGGAACAGGCAAACTGGTAAATACCTAGCTCAAACAATCTGCTATATATATTTTATTTTGTAATTTAATTTTTAAAAAATCCAAGGGTGTTCATTTGCCTATGCCTAGTGTTGTTTCTCCTATCAGGCCTCAAAGATAGCATTAGTGCAAATCACAGAGGCAGGTAGCAATCCCAGGTAAGCAAACAAGCATTTGGAGCTGATAAAGCACTGTGAGAGCCCTTAATGCAATAAAAATATTACCTAAAAAGAAAGGAGCTGTGAAATACTGAAGAGCGGCCTAGAGAAATGTTTCCAAAATTTAACGTACAAACTCATCAGCCAGAGTTTTGCCTAAAATGCATCTTCTGATTTAATGTGGTGGGGCCACACATCCTGCATTCAGGTTCTCAGGTAATCACCATGCTGTTTATCTAGAGGCCCACAGTGAGGGTGGGAAGGCCCCAGAGGAGTGGCCCTCCAAGTATATGATCAACATCACAGTCTCCTGAGAAGTTATTAGAAATGCAAACCCTAGAGCATAAAGAAATTTTTGGAGATGACTGACCAGCCATTTATATCCAGTCAGATTACTTTCCCTGATAATAAAAGAATACTTTTTAAATGCTTAAAAATAAAAATGGCACACTAAAACATGTTACAGAAGAAAAACAGTTCCTCTCTGCATACAATTTCCAAAACTATAGTCGTTACAATTATAGTTAAAATGCAGGCTTTTATTTTATAAGAAGCCTGCTCTGATAAATTGTAGGCAAATATAAAGTGCGCAATTCTCAGTAGGAGCCCTTACCAACTACTCACAAAATAGGTCATGTCCATTGTACCTAGGTAACAAAGGTATGACTGTGTATGGAAACCAGACTAGTTTTCTATTTCCTTCTGCTGAGAACGTAACCAACCACATCATGGTTTAGCCAACTTCTCCACAGTCATGTTTACTCAATGCCTCGCTGATGTGTAAATACATGTCAATATTTTGATTTATAGTTACTATAGATGATATGTTTACATACACAGATACACAAATGTATAAATTATGGTACATTAATGGTTTGCAACACAATATTCTTGAAGGACAAAAACCTTGAGGATAGACTACAAATATACAATGTCATGACCAGAGAAAAGATTTCAGTTTTGTGAATGTGAAGCCAATTGATTATTCAAACTTTGGGGGGAAACCTATTTAACAAACTGACACATTCAGAGTTCAGACTCAACATTTTCTTCAACTTCCAAGTCTGAATTCCAAGTTCACCTCTCAGTCAAAACCTGAGCACACAGATCTACCCTTCATCTATTTCAAAGATGTCAGTAACAGATTGTGAAGCCCCATACTTGGTTCAGGATCGGCCCTGTAATTTTTGCCAGGACCACAAGTTTTAACAGTGTTTCTGAAGTCACATCAATGGGGAACGGAGGGAGGGAGGGACGAGTGCTTCTGGCATCTAGTGAATATAGGCCAGGCACACTACTCAACAATGTACAATGGACAAAACAGTCTCTGCTACAAAGAATTACCTGGACTAAAATACCAAGGGTGCTGAGGTTCAGAAACCCTGACTGAAATGATGGAGGCTGCAAAAATAGGCAATCAATGTCCCCTGTGCATCATTACATTCCTAGTACAGTGTTAAGCACAATGACAAATATTTGTTGATTATCACATAAACTACCTCTGTGTAGCTGTGAGGCCTAGAGATGGAAAACAATGATAAAGGGGTTATTACACATGTAGTATGTAAGTTACAAAACAAAATTGCAATCATTGTCAAGATTGTTGTTAAATGTTAAATTCCTTTTAACATATCATCTAGTCTTATTTCTATATATGGGGGAAAAATACCTTCATATGAAAGATGCTATATCATGTACTGATATGGCAGTGTCATGGGGGGGGGTGTGACAAGGCCTTTTAGTAAAAATAAGTATCTTAAGTTTATTAAAATCAGTTTTTACTTCTAATAGTGTCAGTGTCCCATACTTTTCATAAATTAAGTATTTCCTTTATAAAAATTAAAACCAATGTGACATAACTAATAAGTGACATTTCACAAGCAGGAAACGCAAAATGTAATTATTTTCAAAAAAAAAAAAAAAACAAATCACAGACCTCTGTGGCCTGCAGGCATTTATACTTCTGAGAATTCTGGGATTTAAAATGTCATGAGAAATTCTGAACTGGCTTACATTTTTGAAACACAGGAACTGACAGTCACAAGGCCAAACATACCCTTAATAATCGATTCCGCTGCATACAGATCTCGTTTGTAGGTCACCTAAAGGACAAACAAACCTCATTAGACTTAACAGAGTAGGAAGGAATGTGAGAGCAATAAAATTATGCCCCAAAGGAAATGACTTATTTTGGAGAAACTATAAACACATAGTACTGACAATTTCTAAATTATAACAACATTAGCAAGTTCAGATACATTCTATTTCTGCAAATTGCTGAATATTAGTTTTTGGATCTGTAAATTGAGATATTATGTGGCCATGGTTATCAAACTCTTATTAATATAAGTATTATTTCATAGATAATGTGGTAGTGTTTAAATAAAAGTACTAGCACTACTAGTTATTACTGTTTAATAGTAAAGTTTTATGTTGTAAGGGAGGAAGAAAAAGTATGTGTAACAAAAATCACTAAATCACATTTTTAGTTAAAAGGAGATAATTCTCAAAGATTAATTCACATCAAGAGGGACTTCCTTCTAAATTGAAGGAAGTAGGTATCTTTATGTAGATAAGGTTCACCTTTCAAGTTTTTTATTAATACATGGATCCGACAGGGACTAGAGGATACCTTCATGTACGTAAGAACAATCATTATCTTTCATGAAGATCATGCATCCTCCTTCTAATTGTAACCTGCCATAGTCCTAGGGCAGATATTTCCCACAACATATCCCGTGAGCGCAAGTACAGAATGTGTCACGTGTTTGGCAATGCAGAATCGGTTATGTCAGAAATGAAAAACCTAAAAAATAATGCATTGTATTAATAAGTACTATAAGTTTAGGAGTTGGTTCATCATTAAAGTGCCAAGATGATTATGATGAAAGTGGTCTAAAAACCCACTTTCAAAGTATTTACCAAGTGAGTACATTTCTGTGCCTTATAATTCATATTTTTTCCCTTCAGACTATCTCATAACTAGACTTATACAAAAACTTTGTTCTGCTCAAGTTGCTCAGGGCACTTCTACCCAAAATTAGATTCCCCTGCTATGCCTTTATCCTGGCTGGTAAATGGCTGGTGCAAAACATTACTCTACAATCGACAATTCAAGTACTACCTAACATGTAAGACAGAAAATTGGGGCGCCTGGGTGGCTCAGTCAGTTAAGCATCTGACTCTTGGTTTCGGCTCAGGTCATGATATCAGGGTCATGAGATCAAGCTGCCCCCTACGCCCCAGTTGGGCTCTGCCCTCAGGGCAGAGTCTGCTTAAGACTCTCTGGATCTCTCTCTCCCTCTGCCCCTCCCCACTCCCATGCTCTAATAAATAAATCTTAAAAAAAAATTAGATAGAAAATTGCTTGAGCCTTCAACTAAACTATTGAAGTCACATATGACATTGTTATATGATTGACAAAACAAGTATATGCCAACCAAAACTAGTACTATAGTTACTGATCCACAATGAAATTCCAGTATCTGGACAGAAAATAGAAAACAGACATTTAAAGGTCCATGCTATGTATTTCACCAAATTAAACAATATACCGATCTCATTCATTCATTCAACACATATTTATGAAATAACTACTCTCTTCTAGGTCCTGTTCTAAGTTTGGGGGATAGAGCAATGAAAAGAATAAATAAAATTCCTTAACCTGTGGAAACAGTATTTTCGTAGAAAAATTTTCTTGTAAAAATTCCAAAGTTTTTCTTCTGTTTGCTCAAAAACCCAAAGTTAACTAGATCACTGAAATCAGGCTTCAATACTTGTTAACTCGAATGAGAAAACAGTGTTTTTCTTTAATAATTTTCTGCTGTATGGGGGTAAACTCAGAACTGAAATAAGGAGAGGCCTAATTACTGTTATTCATTTTGTAATCCTTCTGGCTTTGAGGAATGAAACTGCATTCAAAATCACAATAGAGCAACTGTGAAAGTAACTTCTACTTTCTTTGTCCAAGGATATCTTAATGATGAATTTTTTTAAGTTAAGGAAAAATTGGTCTCAACTCCTAAAATCCCTTTTCTAGCATTCCTGCAAGACTAAACAGTTTTACATTGCAATCACTCTTGGTTAAGATACCTATTTGAATCAACTAAAGGTCCTTTCTCCACTATTATTAAATGATTAACTGTATAATCAGGAAAAACTACTAAAGTTCCTTCTGTCTAATTTTCCTTGTAGGTTGTGGATACCTACTACACACAGATTAAAGTTTTTTATTGTTTACTAATATCTTCCACATAAAGCCTTATTTAATACTTCAACCCACTTCTTACCAAACACGGATTTAAGAAAAATTAAGTACAAATGTTTCTCGCAAACTGGTAAAGTACTGCATTTAAAAATAGATTTTTTTCCTAATTGAAACAGTTAACGTACTTCAAAGGGAACAGTACTGGAAAATGTTGCAATTCTGAACTGATGAGTTAACTTTTTCTGTCAAACTTTTACAGTAATATGGGTTGCCCTTTCCTTGTTTTAATTTTCAAAAGTTTATTAAATCAGTTTGAAGTTGATTTCCTTCTGTCAGTGTGATCTGTAGTTTTCCTTGGACCTTGCACAATACATTATGAAAATTTGTTACTTAAAAAAAAATTCAACCCTTTAGTGATGGAAGAGAGCCCTCAATCCTCTGACTCACTTATTTTCATATTGCTCAGTAGAGGCTCAAAAGCCACCTCAAGGCCAGTGCTCAGGGCCCCACATTTGCCCCTCACCTAGTTAAGGTCAATTTTTGTCTTTTTTCTTTGCGCTTCTGTGTAATAGTTCATCTGAGTCAAGTGTGCAACTAAAAGAAAATAATATTCAATACAAGAGAAACCTGAAACTCAGAGCCAGACCAACAGTTTTCTGACGCTGAGGCCAGGCCTCCCTCAGCTGCCTCAAGGTGGGTTCCACACACTATCACACCTACCTGTGTCACTCTGTGTTGACAATATAGTAACAGACTTTTCAGAGCCTCCTTCAGTTGGCCACCATCTTACGTGAATCAGACAACACTTAGTCCCCATTTTTCCTATCTTTTAACTTGTAAGAAAATGAGTATGTAGCTCCAATAATTAGAAGTCAGAAAATATTAAATTTTACAAAATATAGTATGTTTATTAGACACAAATTTAGATTTGGGGATGTATCTATTTCCATTTCATCAATTAGGTCTCTCTCTTTCCTCTAGACTAGATGGAAAATCTCTTAAAAGAAACAATGTTGCCACACTGTATTTTTGAGATTTAAAGGAAGGGAGATTATTTTGTTTTTGTTTTTATTTTTCTTGTTTTTAAGATTTTATTCTTTTGTCAGAGAGACAGAGAGTACGCACAAGCAGGGGGAGCGACAGACAGAAGGAGAAGCAGGCTCCCGCTGAGCAGGAAGCCTGGATGCAGGACTAGATCCCAAGACTCAAAGGCAAACACTTAACTGAATTAGCCACCCAGGCATCCCTGTTTTTGTTTTTAAACAAAGATGCCATAACACATGGATCTGAAAAAGAAAAAAAATAGTTCCCATCAAAAGGATTCCTGAAAAGTCAGGAATATGGGATGATTTCAAACACTTCAGAAACTCCTCCTAAACAAGTATTTTCAGACAATGAACAGCTTAATTTCTTCAATACCTGGTTATAAATCTTTTATGCCTTAAGGATAGTTGTAAATTTAGAAACAAAAAGCCTGTTCAATTAGTTCTGTATAGTGTAGAAAGTGAGCAAGTACTTAAGTATATTGGGACAAAAATATGGTACAATTATAAATTAAAGGAATGGAAGTTTTTATGTCCACTGGATCAAATTTTGTCAAATAACAGTGTGTCTGGCAAGGTCTGGCAAGGCCTGGCAAGGCATTACCCTTCAGGTAAAGCATGAGAGCCCATTCCTATCCCAGAAATCAGTCCTATTCTCTTCCGTGATTGGTTAGTCTTTGTCATGAGGAGTGGGGGATGTCCTCCACGCTGCATGGTGATTTTAAACAATTAATGTTTCCTTCAGGCCCCAAGGAGCCACTGCATGAGGTATGGCATAACTCTGAACATTTATTTCTTGCATTTACTTCTACAAAAAAAGTATGTAAAATACAAAATAACCCTCCCGGATTTCTGGTGGCAGTTCAAATAGTCCCACATGCAGGCATGAAACATTTCTAGTCATTCCTCATACCACTGTGAGGGTGAACTCCCTGATTTCTGAGGGGTAGGGGAAGGTATCCTGGATCTGTGTTTCAGAATCCTCCCTTGCCTTACTTTTTATGGTAGTAAAATGCCTCCTGAAATGCATTTTTCACCGTTTCAAGATTTATGAATCATGAGCCATGTAGTTCGCTCAGCCACCTGAGTCCAGCACCGGTTTTAGCCTCAGTGTACTAAATCTTTTTTCAGATCCAAATTTTTAAAAATGGTAGCACTTTTGGTGTTAGTATAGAATTAGAACACTAATTTCTAAGTATAGATTACTGCTTTGGTTTAAACAGAAACCGAGTAACTCTTTTATCCTTACAAAATGCCAAGACCACAAAATTAAATGAGAAGCCTATACTGAAGACAATTAATACAATGTCATTAAAAAGCTTTAGAGGGCTATACCAATAGCTAGGAAAGTATCAGAAAGAAGAAAAAAGGGGGGTGGGAGAAGATGATGAGAGACAGGAGGCAGAAAGAGGAAACAAGGACCCTAAAACTGCAATACTTGCACTCAAAACCATTTCACCTCAATTATCAGAAGAAATATGGTACCAGAAAAGAACTCCTAACTGCCATTTGAAGGACTTCCTGCCCAATCCATTGCATTCTATGCCCTTTTAAAATCCAAGGTCCCATTATTCAAACAATGTAAAGGAGGAGAAGTCCTGGGAAAGCCAATCCCTGACTTAGTGCACTTACAGTTGGTTCCCATGAAAAGGAAGCAGAGCACCAAGACATGAGAACTAATACTAATACTGTGTTGGTGGAGAAAGCAGTGAAACAGAGAATTTCAAAAACAAAACAAAACAAACTAAAAATTGAAATAAATTTGTGAGGAACAAGTGGAAAATTTCAAGAGCAATATGTTACTTTCCTCTCATCTGCACATCTCAGAGGGCTTGACAAATTTCAAAAAGGCTCTGAACACACACAAAGATCACCACACACCCTACAACATCAAAAATGAGGCCAGAGAGCATTAAATGAACATGTGAGCAGCAATAAAACTTGTCTTGTGAGTTTCCACTTTCATCTCCCATTGCCGGCAAATTAAGTCTAGCCCACAGCCAAAAGGGGTTGTACAGAGATGAGTGTCAGGATCTGTAACAAAAAACCCAATTGGTAAATACCATAGTCTTCACAATATGTTTACTACCATCTGAGCCATACACAGAAAAGGATACACAAAATGAATAAAATGTTTGCCTGGTGGGTTGAAGACATTCGGATACCCTTAAAAGAATAATATTGTGTAAGGCAATGATCCAGACATACCAATATTTTGTAATTTTGTAATTTCAGTCATTTTAAGTATGTATGAGACAATCTTAGCATAGGGCAAGGCCGATCACATTACTGTACAGAATACTTAATGAACTCCTAGGGCTTTCTGTTTTATTTTTAAGTCAATGAGGAAATATGCTTTTGGGTTCATATCATCTTAGAGTTAGGATGAATCTTTCCTTATCAGATTTAGATGGATGCTTTATAAAGATTTCATCCCTTGGGGCACCTGGCTGGCTCAGTTGGTTAGGCATCTATCTGCCTTTGGCTCAAGTCATGATCCCGGGGTCCTGGAAATGAGCCCCACATTGGGCTCCCTGCTCAGCAGGGAGCCTGCTTCTCCCTCTCCCTCTGCTGCTTCCCTTGCTTTCCTGCTCTCTCTCTGTCAAATAAATGAAATCTTTAAATAAATAAATATATATATATATATATATATATATATATATCCAAGCTCTCTCTATATATATATGAAATATATTTCATCCCGTATTTCAAAAGCAGCAATACTTCAAAAAAATAAAACTACCCTACCCTCTTTCAGAAAACACTGTTCAATTCAATACATTTCTACCTTCAGAACAAAGGAAAGCCACACTATGAAACACTCCAGCTATAATTACTTCATTCCCTCGAAAACAAAGAAGTTGGTCATTAGGAGTCAAACTGTAATATATTCAAGAGTCTAACTCCTCACTGGGACCACCAAGTGGGTCCAGCCAGCCATCCCACTAAGTCAGAACTATGGCAGATATTTCTTGAACCAAGTTGGAGCTACCACCCTCCAGGGCCTGGAAGGAAATGTTGCTAATGTGGAAAGCTCCGTTTCATCCTCAGTCCAATGGAGTTTAAGAAAACTGAATGTAAGAATATATAGAGAGAGAAGAAAAAAATTGAATAAAACCATTTTATCAGCTAAAATGGAATTTGTTTGAATAAATTATCTCAAAGTGAATTTTCTGCAAACCAAGAAATAGAAATGATACATACTTTGATGCTCAGGAAACCCAGTGAAACTCTTAATGCCTTTAACGTATACATACATACATAAATACCCTTATCCCTCAAAATACTGAATGATTATGAAACCAAGCATTTTTATACTACCTCTCCATATTCTTAAGCATCTGGAAAGTGTTTATACTTGCAGAATGTGTCTTAGAAATGACCTATAAACACAGCCAAGATCCAGAGCAAAATGTCAACTTCCTTACCTTCCAGAGGTCAGGTGATCCTTCCACAAGTTTGGCATTAATGTGACCGTATTTTAGAGCCAACTGCAAACACTCGGTTCCAAATTCCAAGTCATAGTCACTACACTGGGTAGAAAAAAAAGTTCAAATATATTTTTAAGTAAAACTTTGTTTTATTTCATAATCAATATACAAAAGGAAGGGCCTAGAGAACTCAAAAACTGATTAGGTACAGATTCATCAAGTTCCATAATAATTGTCCCTATGCCCTAAATGTCAAAAGATACAGGAAGTAGGTAAGCTACAATCTTAAGTTTTGAACTTCCTCAATAGTTTCGGGAGTCAAATAAACAGACTTTTTTTTTTTTTTTTATGAGCTACTTTTCCAAACATGTTTCTAAAATGCCTGAAAGTATGGCTGAAGTTTTTTTGTATCAGGATTTTATCTAACAAATATATGTATCCATCCAACTCCAACCCCTATGCTATATTAAAATATTTGCAAATCATAGCTTTTGTTCATTTTAATATTTTACTTGTCAATATATGTCTTAAAAATTTATATTTTGATTCTGAACATGAAAACAGTTCAGTATTCTGTTATTAGACAAAAAAGGAGAGGCCTGGGGCACCTGGGTGACTCAGTCAGTTTAGCCTCCCGCTCTTCATTTCAGCTCAGGTCTTGATCTCAGGCTCATGAAATCAAGTCCCGCATCAGGCTCCATGCTCAGCTGGGAATCGGCTTGAGATTCTCTCCCTATGGCCCTCTCCCCACTTGCTTGCACGCTCCCTCTAATAAATAAATCTTAAAAAAAAAATGGAAAGGCCTCTCATAGGTTTAATAAAGTACAAGCAACATTTTTAAGGATTTTTAGCAAAACCATTAAAATGACCAATACAATTCAACTGAACAATACTGTGTCCTGATCATATCCAAGCTCTATATTAAGGAGAAGCATTTAAAAAATAAATGCAGTGTGTTATTAGGTCCTCAAGGAAATCAAATTTTTTTTATTTTTTTAAGATTTTATTTATTAGAGAGAGAGAGAGATGAAGAAATCACAAGTGGTGGGGATGGGCAGAGGGAGAAGTAGACTCTGCTGAGCAGGGAGCCCAATGTGGGTCTTGGCTTGATCCCAGGACCCCAAGATCATGACTGCCTTTGGCAGTCGCTTAACTGAGCCACCCAGGCTCCCCAAGGACTCATATCTTAAAGAGGAGGCTGATTTCGAACAAATATTTTGCAACAGACTATGATAGATGCAACACTAGAAGAATATCTACAAGTAGACCAGGAGATAAAATACTTAATTCTGTGTGAAGGCATTATAGAGGCCTTTCAAAGCAAATGATCTTTGATCTCATTCTAAAGATGGAATAAAATTGTAGGAGAAAGGTATACCTTTAGGGCAAAAGGTGGCATACAAACAGAGAACCACAGAATGTACATAGTCCCAAATTGACCAGAATGGTCTCTCAGCTTAAATCTTCTATTATGATACACTACTTATTTCTTAGACATTGTAATTTTTAAAAAAGCATCAACAACATTAGTTATATTCAAGTAAGACAAATGTTAAGCCTCTTCTCGGTACTTCCCGCATTTGTACAGGCTCATTTAGCAGTATTTGAGATCTATATACAGTCAACAGAATGCTCTCTTTAACACATGGTCAAATCCCAAAGATGACCAGCAATAGCCCTCTTCCTGACTCTTTTCAGAGGCAAGATATTTAACACATTTGTGGAAAGGCTTAAAAGTGCTCACTAAGTACATGTTGAGAGGAGACCACAAGAACAGGGACCACCCTCCTGTCTTAGGTGGTGAAAAGAGAATTACTTGATGCTCTACTCCTGCCAATCACATGTTGTACCAGCCAAGATGCCAGCAGCCTACAAAGTGTATGATGTCTTTAGGATACTATTCACTAGAGCCAATAGGAAGCACAGAAAACTCTGGTTCAGGAATATATGAAATATATACTGGAAACAGGCTGAGCAACCTTGGCAGAAAGAGTAGCCTGAATTTGTCATTCGTTGTATAGACTACTATTACAACTATTTATGGGGGGTTTTGGTAATTTCTGCAACAAAAATTTTACTTTTGCAGGAAGTTCAAAAAAAATACATGCTTAATAACCTGTTAAATTCTGAATTTCTACATTTCTCAATAACACTGATGATGACTTCTACTTTTGTATAAGATATGGAAAGCTGGAAAATATAATGTTTAGTTCTGAAGAAAAATCATATAAACTACAAAAGCATAACTTTTTTTTGTACTCACCATAGCTGAGGTCACAAGATGACCAAGTAGCCTTAAATCTAAGAAAAGGCATGCCTCCCCAAGGACAGAGAGGACACCATCACCAGCTCACAGCACAACAACAAGAGATAGCAGATGTCATACAAGCAGGTAAGAAGAAATAAATAGATAATCTCAATGCACTGCTAAGTACTGAGTGGAGGTGACTATGAGAATACAGAACCTCTGGGAGTCAAATACTCAATAGGTGTGTTTACACCTTGCAGGCTCCACTTCAGTAACCTACTACTATGAGCTCATGAACAGTATATTACTATCTGAAGATGCCTGTAACTACATGTACGTTCTACACTCAAGGCATACACTAAACATCTTTAAGTTAAAAATAAATCAATAATGGTAAGACAGAATCATTAAACAATGAGAAATTAATACAAAGGTAGGCAAAGAGAAAAACAGAACATATGGAACAAACAGAAAACAACTAGCACAATGGTAGATTTTAAATCAAGAAAGTTAATCAGTGTGTAATTGCTGAAAATTTTTATCTTTATTATCCAGCATGGGAATCATAGTGATATATCACTGATCACATAACATACACACACTGATTCTAAGAACCCTCTGTCCCCCTAAACTTGCAGCCCAAAAGAATGCCAAACAATATTCCTCCCAGGCAGAAACTCTAAATATACTATTGTCAGAGGTCCCCAAATACAGTCCATCTCAGTCATGTTACGATGAAACTCAAAGTCAAAAAGCTCCACCTATTAAACCCACCAACTCCCATCAGTCTCCAACACATAAGCATGAGCAGAAACCCCAGATTTAACTGAAACGCAAGACTAACATGAAATGTAAGGTCAAAAAGGCAAAACATAAAATCTTTTGGAGGAACTCTGCAGTTATAAAAAGACTTCAGTATGATAAGTGAGAAAGTGCTTATACTCATCAAATAGGATATTTAAAAGGGGAGAAAATACAGAAAAAAAAAAGTGACCACAAAGTCCAATATGTTAAAAAAAAAAAAGGAAAAGAAAAAGAAAAAAGAAAAACCAGAAGGAAAGAACAAAAAGAGTAGGAGAAAGAGACAAGTATTTAATAAGAAAATTACAATAATGAAGAACATGAGTTTCCAAATTAAAAAGTCTCACAGCATGTAGAAGCTAATGAATGAAATACACCAAACCCAATTAACAGCAACAACAAAAGGTCTCCTAAAAAGCAGGAACCCAAACTGGTTGAGACCTAATAGCAACAATGAAAATTAGAAAAACAAAGGAACAGTTTCTCCATAATTTTGAGGATAATGATTGTCAATATAAAACTGTACTTCAAGAAAACTTATTTATCACAGGAGGATAGAATATGGATTTCTACAAACACTGAAGGTCTCAACAGAATTTTAGTTCCCATGCAGTCTTTTTCATTCCAAGTTTCATAGGCTTTGTCTTTTTGGAGCAATTTTAGATTCCTAACAAAGTTGAACAGAAAGTACAGGTATTTTCCACATGTCCTCTATCCCCATCTACTCACAGCTCCCCCCACTACCAAAATTCTACACCGGAGGGGTACATTTGCTAAAATCAGTGAGCCTACACCAACACATCACTATCACCCCAAGTCCACAGTTTACACTAGGATTCCCTCAGTGTTTTTACATTTTATAAGTATTGGCACAAATGTATAAGAGTCTATATTTATTGTTTTGGTATCCTAAATAGTACTTTCACTGCATTAAAAATTCTCTACAACTCAATCTATTCATTCTATTCCTTGCCTCCAGCCATTGAAGTTTTTCCTGCTTCCATAGTTTTGTCTTTCTCAGAAATCATGTACTTGTACTCTTAGAGTATGCAGCCTGTTCAGACTGACTTTTTTCCCACATAACAACATGCATTTCAGTTTCCTCTATGTCTTTCATGTCTTTGTAGATCATTTTTTGCCCTGGATAATATTCCATTTGCTGGATGTACCAATTTACATACGCATTCACCTACCAAGGAACATCTTGGTTGCTTCCAAGTTTTGGCAATTATGAAAAAAGCTGGTATAACCACTCACATGTAGGTTTTTGTGTAAACATAAGATTTCAATTCATTTGAGTAAATACAAAGAAGTACAATTACTGGATCATATGATAGGAATATGTTTAGTTTTATAAGAAAACTGTCAAATGGTCTTCCCAAGTGAACGTGCTATCTTGCACTATACTAGCAATGAATGAGAATTCCTGTTACTCCATATCCTCACAAGCATTAGGTGTTGGCATTCTAAATTTTGGCCATTTGAATAGATGAGTTGTGATAGCTCGTTGCTTTAATTTGCATTTACCTAATAACATTGGGTGCAGAACATCTTTTTATGCTTATTTGCCAGGCATTTATCTTCTTTGTTGAGCTACCTATTGAGGTTTTTTACCCTTTTACTGAGGGTTTTTTTTTCTTATTGTTGAGTTTTAACAGTTTGTGTATGTTTTGGATAAGAGTCCTTTATCACATGTGTCTTTTACAGGTATATTCACCCAGCTTTTACCTTGTCATTTTTTTTAGGGTGACCTTGGCAGAATCCACGTTTTTAATTTTAATGAAGTCCAGCTTATCAATTCTTTCGTAGATCACACCTTTGGCGTTTTATCTCAAAATTATCACCATACCCAAGGTCAACTAACTTTTCTCCTCTCTCCTAGGAGTCTTGTGGTTTTTTGCTTTACATTAAAGTCTATGATCCCTTCTGAGTTTTTGTGAAGGGTGTAAATTGCGTCCGGATTCATTTTCTTCACGTGAATGTTTACTTGTTGCAACTGTTATTTATTGAAAACACTATCTTTGTTCCATTGTATTTCCTTTGCTCTTTTGAC